GGATTGTGCAGACGCTGCCCACTATGGAACCTCTACTCTGATGAAACTGTTGTTTTACTTACCCAAGGGTGGAAGCTGAGATAAATAAAGGCTTTCTAGATATTAGAGATATTGTCACTCGAGCAATAAATAACTTTGACTTAATTTAATATTTTAGCTTATTTTAAAAAAAAAATCCAAAACAAAACTGGTCAGAAGTGTAGACGTGAACAGTATAACACACAGTCAGTTAACTTTCAGGGATATTAATCTACATATAAATGTGACAGCAGGTGCTCTGAAGACGCAGCAACGCTTTGTAGAGAGTTTTGACTTTAAACTTCTTTGTGTTTTGGATTTGAACCTGTTGCCATGTTCAGATGTTGATGATCTCGCTCGTACTGTTGTTTGACTACAGACAAACATATGTGCAAGGACTTCATTGGTCCAGCTAAACTCTTCCTGTGCATTTATAAACATGCTGCTGCTCATAAACCTGATGAACGTCACACAGACCAAAACATTACAACTTAATAGATGTTAATAAATGTTCCAGTGGTAAACGAGCCAGCGTGTGAGCGCTCCTTTCACACTGCTTCATGTTTAAAGCTTTTTATTCTCTCTTGTAATTTATGTTTGTCTCATTAGTCTCAAATTGTTTCAATTGTGTGAATTGAAACTGTCATATTTTTGTCGTTCTTCTGTAAAGCTATTTAAATTGGACTAACCTGAGCTGTAACCTGAATGAATAGAGGGGAATTTGGAGTGATACATTTACAAACAGACACACATGCTGCTGCCTTCTGATTGGCTCTGAGAGGATTTAATCAGCTGAATGTGAAGCAGTCTGAATGAGATGGGGAAGGAGATGCTTTTAAAATGCAATATTAGAGCAGTGAGACACACGCTTGCTTTGTTTGTGTGCAGGTGTGGGGGAGGCACTTTCAATCCTTGCAGGATTTGTGGTTTCTTCTCTAAATGTATTCAGCAGGGGGAGAATTGGTCTCTGGATTTGAAGGTCTTAAGCTAGAAAGTCTTTCCTGCGGGGATGTTGCCACTGAAACACCTGTGCTTTTTTCTGTTTCGTTGTGCTGAGATACACCAGCATTGTGCTCAAATCTCAAAATGTAAATTGTACAGGCAGAACTGCAGCGTATAATCCCTCTATGGATGCGTTAATGTCCAAGTAAAATATTAGAAAGCAGTAATGTTGCGTTTGCTATGAAGTTCCTGATAAAGGATTAGCCAACAGCTGTCACAGCGCGGAAATGTTGATACTTTATGCAGTGATGCCTTTCAAACAGTGGGGCCAATATCAACTCGACACCTTCACGAGGTGAGGAGTTAAAAACATCTCTCAGCAAACATTTCTGGCACAACTTTGCCTTCCAAGGTGCAAGGAGAGGATGAGACACTAACAACAGGAGATGTGATTGGTTCATTTTTTTCTGTTTCTTGTCCTTTATTTAAGCCCAGATGTGTTATGTATTACTATGACCCTGATGAAGGCCAAAACACGTTAGTCAGTTAATAAAATTGTTCTTCTTTACTTTTAAGTGTTGCTGGAGTTCCTGTGTTGTTAGTTTCAGATATTTCTGCCATGATCTGAATCTGGTAAAAAGATGGTTTGTAAGGTTGAAAGTTTGCTCTTGAACATGTCAAACGTTGTTCATTTCACCGTTTGTAACTTTTGCAAAAGTTGTAATTAAGCTTTGACGGTTTGCATCATTTTTGACAGGCTGAAAACATTCAGAGATCTGCAAACATTTAATCTGCATCTTCTTTGTTCACTGTCCTTTGTTTCAAATAATGTTGTTACTCCTGGACTCTGTAGTCAGACTCAACAGTCGCTTTTCATGACTCATAATAGGTTCACCACAGGACATTTTAACTTCTGTCTCTTTATAGACTGAAAAGCTTCCTTCTCATTGGATGAGAAGACCATATACTTGCTGCCATATTTAATGACATCATACAGACACCAGTGTAAACTGTCTGAAACAGAGCAGTATGAAGCTTCTCTGAATTCGTTGTTGGAACCTTTGCCCCTCCCTAATATGAGTATTTATCAAAGAGATACACCTGCTCAGCTCCTCAGATTAACTTCTGTCAGGCATTAAAACTTGTTAAACTGACAATGATTCAGACCTCTGGCTGAGATCAAATTAATAGTCTGGAAATCCTCTTTCATGGCTTAAACGCTTGTAACAAAAGTCCAAAAACAAAGCTTTTCAGAGTTTGCAAAGCCGTCCAGTGGACTGGATTGGACCCTTGGGTGGGCCCATCCTGGCTCAGGGGCCGTATGTTTGACAATTTTGTCAAAAGACTCTATTGTGGCTTTTGAAAAAAATATTATTGGTTTTGCATCAAGCTATGAAGTGCATCCCTCGTGTTTTCAGCAGGACTTTGAAGTAATCACTTCAAAGAAACATCACTTCATACATAAAGGAGATGCTGAGATCAGACGTGTCACTTCCTGCATGGAGTATACCACATCTGCAGCTGCTATCAAGATGTTATCACATCAGGATTTATTAATGCCTTCTGATTATTATATTCATTTACACCTGATGAGCGTTGTCATTATTTGGATTCTATCAGCAGTCAAATCTCCAAATACAAATCAGGCATGCTGGTGTGGCCTTATTGTGCCATTCAAATGTCAAAGTCATAACATTGCTGCTATATATGGAATCATCAGGTCATCAGTAGTTTTAGACTATACGCAAACGTCAAACAGCTAATTATCACACAATTTACTGCATTTATTGAATATCACACCTGAGCTTTCCTTACAGCCAGGATGTGAAGTGTGTGGTGTGTTAGTGCAATTATGTAACAGTATCGCTCAATAATTAGAAGCCAGCTACCCACCACACATCCACATTTTACACGTTTAAATAATTTAGGCACGTCTACTCCTGCACTTTATGTCCAAACGAGGGTGCTTGGTGGGGAGGAAAAAGAAAGAGAGGGGCAACCTAGCCTGGATGTAGGAGAGTTAATAAAGCTGTTTCCTGTTAAAGTTAAATCCAGACAACATTAATATGTTACTGGATGTAACATATTAATGTTGCCTGGAAGGAACAGAAGGATAAAGGAAAGCCTGGCGTTTTTGCTCAAACCTGCTTAAACAAACAAATGTGTTGACTTTGTAAATGAACAGCTGTGGACT